ATACTCCCTCTTTTATCTACCAATATTGTGATTAGACACAAAGGCATATAAACAGGAATCTACATGTATACAAAGTTTGGCACTATTTTGCAAGGATGCTCTCTGGAGTGTGTACATTGAACATGCTCAAAGGAAGGGTGGAAATCAACAGAACAGAACCGAACCAAACTACGTTGATGCAAAGGTATGTTTAGTCTTTGCTCAGATGTGCTTCCAAACATTATTGGCAGAGCCAAGGATATTCTAATGTTATTTCTTTACTTATGGAGTCATTTTATGTACACAAGCATACAATTCTTTCTAATTAAGAAGCTTTAAAAATAAGGCAGGGTATGTTTTGAAAGCTTTGCATCAAAGAAAATGAAAGGACTCTACAGACATGCCCTTATCTCTATTAAGTAATCTCACTTGGACATTTCAGAGATAAGTACCATCAAAACGTAAAACTTGGGAATCTAAACTCATTTATTTTCTACTGTAACCACAAATCATGAATTAAATAGCCAGAGACAATCCTTAAATGTGGAGACTGAAAAATTCTTCACATTTTTCCTGAAAGGGATACCTTTAAATTTTTTTTAAATTGTGGTAAAATACACATGAAATTTACCAGCTTGACCAGCTGCAAGTGCACAATTCAGAGGTATTAAGTACATTTACACTGTTGCACAGCGATCACCACCATCCAGCCACAGAACTCCTTTTGTCTTTCAGAACTGAAACTCTGTAGACATTAAACAACTCACCACTCCCAGCAGCTCCTGGAACCCACCATTCTACTTTCTGTCCCCATGAATTTAGTACTTTAGGTACCTCATATTAGTAGAATCATAGAGTATTTGTCCTTGGTGACTGGCTTATTTCACTTAGCTTAATTTCCTCAAGGTTCATCTGTATTGTAGCACAAGTCAGAATTTCCTTCGTTTCTAAGGCTGAATAATACTCCACTGTATACATATATGCACTACATTTTATTTATTGATTCATCTATCAATGGACCTTTAGGTGCCTCCACCTTTTTCCTACTGAGAATAATGCTGCTATGAACACTCAAGTACAGGTAACACTTCAAGATCTTTCTTTCAGTTCTTTTGGGTTTATACTCTAAAGTAGAATTGCTAGATCATATAATAATTCTATCTTTAACTTTTTTGAGAATTGACCAACTTGTTTTCCACAGTGGCTTCACTATCTTATATTTGTATCAGCAATGAACAAGGATTCTAATTTCTCTACATCCGTGCCAATACTGCCAACCCATTTTCTTTCTTTCTCTCTTTCATTTTTCTTTTTTGATAGTAGATGTCTTAAGGGCTATGAGGTAGCATTTCACTGTAGTCTGAAAAGCTATATCTTGGTTTCAAAATTACTTAGACATATGCATTACCATATGTAAAATTAGATAGCCCGTGGAAATTTGCTGTATGATGCAGGGAACTCAAATTTGGTGCTCGGTGATAACCTAGAGGGGTGCGATGAGGTGGGAAGGAGGTTCAAGAGGGAGGGGACATATGTATACCTATGGCTGATCCATGTTGATACTGGCAGAAGCCAAAGTGATATTGTAAAGCAATTATCCTTCAATTAAAAATAAACTAATTAGAAAAAATAAGGGTACTTAGAGTAATTCCAGGTATTTTAGAGGTCACCGGTAGGTAGAAACAGCTGTACTCAGTCATAAGGCCTGAGCCCACATTCTCCTTCCCTTTGGGTGCCATGTTGAAATGCTTCCTAATAAACAGGCATTTCAGGGCACATTACACCCACATTCCAGGAAGCATATTTGCCTGGCTCTTTGTGTCTCATCTCTTCTCTGTTTCCCATCTCAAGAGGGTTTTTTCTGAGCTTTGTTTGATAAGCAGATGATTATGGAGTACAAAAATAAAATCTCAAAATTTAAAAAAAAAAAACAGTAAGCCTGTCAAAACAGAGGGCAGGATGGAAGATCAGGACACCTGGCCTACATTGCCCTTGGCTATACACCTGGACACAATCAAGGACAGAAATGGTAAAGGCCTAACTGAAGCAGAAGATATCAAGAAGAGATGAAAAGAATACACAGAAGAACTATACAAAAACGATCTTAATGACACAGATAACCACCATGCTGTCGTCATTCTCCCAGAGCCAGACATTCTGGAGCGTGAAGTCAAGTGGGCCTTAGAAGGCATCACTACCAACAAAATTGGACTTCCAGGTGGCACTAATGGTAAAGCACTCACCTTTCAATGCAGGAGACATAAGAGACATGGGTTTGATCCCTGGGTTGGGAAGATCTGGAGGAGGGCGTGGCAACCCACTCCAGAATTCTTGCCTGGAGAATCCCATGGACCATAGCCTGGGGGGCTACAGTCCATAGGATCTGTGGAGAGTCAGACATGACTGAAGCAACTTGGCATGCACAAACAAAGCTAGCGGAGGCAAGGGAATTCCAGTAGAGCTATTAAAATCCTAAAAGATCATGCTATCAAAGTGCTGCACTCAGTATGTCAGCAAATTTGGAAAACCCAGCAGTGGCCACAGGACTGGAAAAGGTCAATTCTCACCCCAATACCCAAGAAGGACTGTACTAAAGAATATTCAAACTACTGGACAATTGCACTCATCTTCCATGCTAATAAGGTTATGCTCAAAATTCTGCATGCTGGGCTGAACCAAGAACTTCCAGATGTCCAAGCTGGGCTTAGAAAAGGCAGAGAAACCTGCGATCAAATTGCCAACATTTGCTGGATCTTAGAGAAAGCACACTTGCCTAGAAAATCCCATGGATGGAGGAGCCTGGTAGGCTGCAGTCCATGGGGTCGCAAAGAGTCGGACACCACTGAGCGACTTCACTTTCACTTTTCACTTCCATGCATTGGAGAAGGAAATGGCAACCCACTCCACTATTCTTGCCTGGAGAATCCCAGGGACGGTGGAGCCTGGTGGGCTGCCTTCTATGGGGTCGCCCAGAGCCGGACACGACTGAAGCGACTTAGCAACAGCAGCAGTAGCAGAGAAAGCAAAGGAATTCCAGAAAAACATCTACCTCTGTTTCACTGACTATACTAAAACCTTTGACTGTGTGGATCATAACAAATTGTGGAAAACTCTTAAAGAGATGGGAATACCAGGCCATCTTACTTGTCTCTTAAGAAACCTGTATGTGGGTCGAGAAGCAAGTTAGAACACTGCATGGAACAACTGACTGCTTTAGGATTGAGAAAGGAGTACAACAAGGCTGTTTACTGTCACCCTGTTTATTTAACTTATATGCTGAGAACATCAAGAGAAATGTTGGGCTGGAGCGTTACAAGCTGGAATCAAGACTGGCAAGAGAAACATCAACAACTTCAGATATGTGGATGATACCACTCTAATGGCAGAAATAGAAGAGGAACTAAAAAACCTCTTGAAGAGGGTGAAGGAGAAGAGTGAAAAGGCCAGGTTAAAACTAAATATTATTAAAACTAAGATCATGACTTCAAGCCCCATCACTTCATGGCCTATAGAAAGGGAAATGGTGGAAGCAGTGACAGATTTCCTCTTCTTAGGCTCTAAAGTTACTGTGGATGGTGACTGCAGCCATGAAACTAGAAGATGACTGCTTCTTGGCAAGAAAGCCATGACAAATCTGGACAGTGTGTGAAAAAGCAAAAACATCACTTTGCTGACAAAGGTCTGTATAGTCAAAATTGTGGTCATTCCAGTGGTCATGTATGGTTGTCAGAGCTGTACCATAAAGAAAGCAGAGCACCAAAGAAGTGATGCTTTCCAACCATGGTGTTGGAGAAGACTCTTGAGAGGCCTTTGGAGTGCAAGGAGCTCACACCAGTCAATCTTAGAGGAAATCACCCCTGAATACTCATTGGAAGGACTGATGCTGAAGCTGAACTCCAATACTTTGGTCACCTGATGCAAACAGCTGACTCATTGGAAAAGACTTTGATGCTGGGAAAGACTGAAAGCAGAAGAAGAGGGCAACAGAGGGTGAGATGGCTGGATGGCATCACCGGACGAAATGGACATGAACTTGGGCAAACTCTGGGAGATGGTGAGGTCCATGGGGTCATGAAGAGTCAGACACGACCACGTAACTGAACAACAGCATACCTGGAGGATGGTAATTGCTCAGTAAATATTCACTAAAGTATGTTGAATGGATAAATCACAAGGAAAGACAGGAGCTTCTACTGTGCATATACTTCAATTTCCAACACACTCTCTGAAAGTCATACTTCTATAAGAAGCAGAAGAAAAGAAAACAGAATCAGAGCTGAGGGAGAGACGGTCAATTCAATGCTCCACCATCACAGCAGCCACACACTGGGTCTCAGGGTGAAGCACTCTATACCATGCACTGACCTATTTTGCCCTCAGAGCAGCTCGAAGGGTTGGTATTGTTAGCTGCCTTGTAAGACAGAGAAAACTGAGGAGCACAAAGATGGAATTCCAAGTCCCTTTCTCCTCCTCACTATTCTGTACTGACTGCCTGGAGAAAATTACTTATTAATGGCTGATTTGTCAAAGTCTCTCCATAGCATCCATACACTCTGCAATTCTCAAAGCCCCACAGTTTCACAGAACACCCTCCAGGGACATAATCACCTTTGAAAAGATGTCCTCATTTCCTACAGCAAAGCTCTATCTAGAAGACACTTAAAATTCGCATTTCTCTATAGGAACCTCTCCAACACTAAACAAACAATTTACCCTTTTGTTCTCAGAATTATGTGGTTATCAGTGGATAAAATTGTGGAACTTGAGGAAGTCTGAGTACAGAAATCCATCTCAGTAAATTATTAAATCACATGCACACAAAACTAACAAAGAAACAAAGAAACAAAACCTAGTATATGATGAAAGTATCTGTTGAAAATACCTGCTGCTAGAAATATGCTCTACTAGGGGTAAAAAGGATTAACTCTTTCATTTAATTTGAAAAACATAAAAATAAAAAATAAGTAAAAAAAAAATAAGTAAACTTAGGTGGTTTATGAAAAGAACATGTGAGTGCATACCTGAGGTACAACTGACATTTTCTTCCTTAAATCGTGAAGTCCAATACTTGTTGTCAAGATGCCATCAATGTAAATGGTACCTTCAGGTTCTGACAATCTAAAAAGGGCAGCAATGAGGGAACTTTTTCCAGCCCCTGTTCTTCCTACAATGCCAAGCTGTAAAGAGATCCAGGAGAGAGTAAGAATTAACAAAATGCAACAAACCTGGGAGAAATGCTGGTTATTGATGATGAATGTTAAAAGTTCTATATAAAGAATAGTCCATAAGTTTCTCAGTCATGGTACTGTTGACATTATGGGCCAGATAATTCATTCTTGGGGGAAGAGGGCTTGTCCTGTGTATTGTAGGGTGTTTAGCAGTAGCCTTGAACTCGACCCACTGGATACCAGTAGCAATCCCTAAACAAACTGTGGTAACCAAAAATTTCAGACACTGAAAACTGTCCCCTGGTTGAGAGCCCCCTAGTCCCAAGAAGAGTTAAAAATGACAACCTGCTGGCAGTGAAAAGCCAGTGATCTCCTAAGTGGTCCATAAGAAGTCAGCCTTTAAATTAGCTTTATTCCTACAGCCTGAGTAATTTGACCTAGAGAATTATGTGACTAATTTTATGGAGATATTAACAAGTAAAGTCAGAAGTGTTATACATAAAAAAAGTATTCACTTTTTCAAGGCCTAATTATTTAAGAGGAATTATTCTTTGGTAGAAAAACTAAAAAATTTCCTAATATTAAATATCTTAATTATATTCTATCTTGAAAGAAAATATCTTAAAATTATAAAATGCAGATCTCAGTGTCTTATAAGACAGAGGGCAGTAGACAAAATGCACATAATGAAGTCAACATCAACACAACATTTGCTACTTATATGGGACCTTTCACTGAAAGAGTTCAAAAGGTATTTTATAAACACATTAATACTTGCAATTGCACCTTGGAAAGATACATGTCAAGGGTCAGTCTCATCATTAAAACCAAAGCAGAGAGAAATTCAGTGCACTAATGATAAGACTGGGGCTTTTCTGGTGGCTCAGTTGTAAAGAACACACCTGTCAATGCAACAGACTCAGGTTTGATCCCTGAGTGTGGAAGATCCCCCACAAAAGGAAATAGAAACCCACTCCAGTATTCTTGCCTAGAGAATTCCATCGACAGAGGAGCCTGGCAGGCTACAATCCATGAAGTCACAATGGAGTTGGACACGACTGAGCAACTAATACGTATCAGTGCAGGAGACATAGGTTCAATCTCTAATCTGGGAAGATCCCAGATGCTACAAAGCAACTAAGAAGGTGCACCACAGCTACTGAATCCCACACGGCCTAGACCCGGGAGCCACAACAAGAGAAACCACCACAATGAGAAGCCTGGGCACTGCAAGTAGAGAGCTGCTCACTGCAACTAGTGACCCCCCATTCGTTGCAACTAGACAAAACCCAGAGCAGCAACGAAGACCCAGCCCAGCCAAAGATAAATAAAATTATTTTGTAAAAAGTTATGTTTACACTATGCTGTAGTTTACTTAGTGCACAATAGCATTATGTATGAAAAACAATATTCATACCTTAATTTTCAAATACTGATTGCTAAAAGAATGCTAACCATCATCTAAGCCTTTACTGGATAGTAACATTAAAAAACACTGATCACAGATCAGAAAAACAAATATAATAATAATAAAATGGCTTGAAATATTGTGAGAACTACCAAAAGGTGACAGAGACATGAAGTTATCAAATACTGTAGGGAAAATGGTGCCAATGTACTTGTTCAACACTGAGCTGTCATAAATGTTTACTTTGTTAAAAAAAAAAAAAAGAAAAGAAGAAGCATTATCTGTGAAGCACAATAAAAATATGTGTCTTTCTTTCTGGGTGTTCTCATACATAAATCAACACACATTAAGACACAGGTGACAACTGTATCCATGAGAATGTATGTTCCCATGTTATCAGCTCTACTAACACTGATCCATCTGTGCAAATGGGAACATTTATAGACTTTGGATAAATGGGCTGAGATATGTAGGGGCATTAAGGGCCACTCATGACCACAGGAATGTGAGCTCCAAACTCCAGTGAGGAGAAAAATAAGAAACAAGGGACTTCACGGGTAGTTCAGTGGTTAAGATTCTGAGCTTCCACTGCAGGGGACACGGGTTCAAACCCTGGTAGGAAACTAAGATCCCACATGCTATATGGCCACAAATCCCCTCCAAAAAAGGCAACTCAATGGGAAAAAAAAAAACAAAACACCTGGCTCTGGCTATTTCTACAGTTAAATCATTAAACCTGTTAATATAGTCTGAATGTCTTATCTGGGTCACCAATGGGTTTTACTGATTCCACACGGAACGTGTCACCAGTATCAGTAAGTTTACATTCCTAATACCAACGACACTTGGAAAAAATCTTATTTTAGCTGCTTTTTTTCCTACCACTTGGATCACAGTGGGAAATGTAAGACAGGAAGTCAGGAGCTGTTGTGTCTTCAGCAAGATGTCATGGGAAAATGATTCCACTTTTTGAAATTAAACTGATGTCCAATAAAATGAAGCTATAAATCCCAGGTTTGTGAATGTGCAGGGAACCAGGCCAGGGTTCATCTCTGATGAACACACCAACTTGTTAGACACTTGCTCCTGGATCTCTCTTCACATATCAAACTTAACATGATCAACATCTGATACCCCACATAAAAGAGCCATGTCCTCTGACTTCCCTACTCTACTTCTTTCCCAGGCTCATAGGCACAACTCTCCACCTTACTTCCAGCTTTCCCTGAGTCCAGCATGCTCTTAAGCCCTGAAAACTCTACTCTTGCAGTGTTTCATGGCTCAATCCCTCATTTTAAGGTCCACACTCACCACCTGAGCGTCAGGATGCATTATCTTTTAAAAAGCAAAATAAAACAAACTCTTTTCTTAATCATAATCGGTGCAAATGAATTTGAAAAGTAAATAAAGACTAGATATACCCTAGAAGTCTGATAAAACCAATCTTAAGATGTTGATGTTTTGATTTTCCAGACTTGTGTTATGTGTTCTTAAAGATACAAATTTACATATTTTAACAAAATATGATTAATATGAACATACTGTTATAATGTATCTTCATTTAGAATTTCATAAAAATATTTATTTTACTCTGCCAACAAAGGTCCATCTAGTCAAGGTTATGGTTTTTCCAATAGTCATGTACGGATGTGAGTTGGACTATAAAGAAAGCTGAGCGCTGAAGAATTGATGCTTTTGAGCTGTGGTGCTGAAGAAGACTCTTGAGAGTCCCTTGGACTGCAAGGAGATCCAACCAGTCCATCCTAAAGGAAATCAGTCCTGAATATTCATTGGAAGGACTGATGCTGAAGCTGAAACTCCAATACTTTGGCCACCTGATGTGAAGAGCTGAATCACTGCAAAAGACCCTGATGCTGGGAAAGATTGAAGGTTGGAGGAGAAAGGGACGACAGAGGATGAGATGGTTGGATGGCATCACTGATTCAATGGACATGAGTTTGAGTAGGCTCCGGGAGTTGGTGATGGACAGGGAGGGCTGGCGTGCTGCAGTCCATGGGGTTGCAAAGAGTCGGACATGACTGAGTGACTGAACTGAACTCTTATAATGTATCTTCATTTAGAATTTCATAAAAATATTTAAGTGGCTACATAATATTACAGTATATGTGACTATTTATTTAACAAACTCCTACTGGTAGATATTTAGACAATCTCCAATATTTTGCTTTCATAAATAACTCTGTGTCAAATATCCTTGAAGCTCAATCTTTGCAAACAACCTTAATTATTTCCTTCAGATAAATTCTCAGATATGGAATTGCTGAGAATAAGGTATGTACATTTTAAGAGAAAGCTGTTAAGTATTGCCAACCTAGTCCTCCAGAAAAATGATACCATTTTCAACTTCCACCTGTTTCCCTGCACATTCATAAACCTGGATGTTATAGCTTTGTTTTAATTGACATCAGTTTGATTCCGAAAAGAAGTCAATTTCCCAGGACGTCTTGCTGGAAACACAACAACTCCTGACTCCCTATCCCCTGCACCTGCCCACCCGGGTCCACGTGCTCTCACTTCTCAGATTAAAACCCTGAAGGTTGGTTCTGTGTCACTCCACGCCAGGACATCTCTTCTACAAAACTATCCCCACTGACCTCTCCATCCTTCATGTCCATGAGTCAGCTTTCTTGGGGTCACTAGGTAGTTGTGAGGGTTGGATATGAAAATGTGTGTTACTCACCTGGTAGTTCTTTTCCCTGAATGCCCTGCAGGTACCTAGTTTTTCACTCACTGGATCAGGGCATTGTGCCTTTGCTCATGTTGGTCTCACCTCCCAGAATGCCTTTCACATGCATTTCCACCTGCTGAAGCCCTGACAATACATCACTAAGTCTGTCTCGCATGACTGATACTTCAAAAATGCTCTCCCAGTCCCCTATGTGTGCTTATCCCAATACTAACAGATGTTGTATTATCTTTTCCTAAACTTCTATAAAAATTCTGACGACCTTCTAGCTTACAAAACTAATATACCTATTTTCTTGTTTCTTCAACTGGCCTGTATATGTTTGACAGCAGAATCTGTATTGGACTTGACTTTTTCTATTTTTATTCCTTGTGGAGCCCTGAGACAAAGAAGCTTCCACAGAAAGCTGAGATTTTTAATCAGGCCAGAGAATTTATGGAAAATCTATCACCATATTATTTAGACATATGATAAGTTGGACAAAGAGAAACATGGCTGTTGGATCCTACAGCCATAAATACAACTTCAAATGCCCAACACCTTATTCTCATGGGACAGACAACAACTTTTGCCATGTAAGTGGTTATGGGCATTTTATACAGTATGAAAACTACAACCATCATTGTCCAAGCATTTACTCTGATCCCTCTTCTGGGTGCTTCACATGTCTTATCTTGTTTAAGTCGTACAACAACACTACAGGTTAGGTCCAATCAATTCCATTTTTCAAAAAGAAAACTGAGGCTTAATTAGTCTGCCTGAAATTTCAGAGTCCATTAAGTCATAGGATGAGACTCAAACCCACATCAGTTGGCCTCTTTTTCCATTCTGCTGATGAAGTCCTTAAACCTGGATGACCTGGCACCTTATCATGTCCCTCTGTGTAGCTAGAAC